CCCGTTGGGGCGTCCGGGCGGCGCCGCCGTGGAGAGAGCTGGGAGCGCCAAGTTTCCGATGCCTGCCCGCGAGCTCCGAAAACCTGAAGGTTTTTGGACGGGCTGGTGTGGGAATGAATCACTCGGTCGCGCCCTGGTGCTGTGACAAAAAGGGCCTGTGGGGCCCGCCTGGACGGTCCCGGGCGGGTCCAGCTAGCCACGGCCGCGTCTCTCGCCAGCTAGCCGAGGTGTGTCGTTGCTTAAAAATAACTGGTCCTGCCCCTGCTTCTTTCTGGCAGTGAGTCACCCTCCACCCCGGGAAATGGGGCCACGCCCGAGGAGTGCCCAGCGCTGGCCGACAGCCCCACCACACTCACGGAGGCCCTGCAGATGATCCACCCCATTCCCGCCGACTCCTGGAGGAACCTCATCGAACAAATAGGTGGGTACTCGAGCGGTGTCTGCGCTTCACGGGGCAAATGTGGGCTCCTGGTGGACTCTGAGGGTCCCCCTGCTACTGAGATACCCTTGCATTTCTGTGAGGAGGCTAGGGGACGTTTTTGTTGTTGTTCGTTTTTAATATATTTTTATTGATTTCAGCGATGAAGGGAGAGAGAGAGAGAGATCAATGATGAGAGAGAATCATTGATTGGCTGCCCCCTGCTCGCCCCACACTAGGGACTGAGCTCACCACCCAGGCATGTGCCCTGATGGGGAATTGAACCGTGACCTCCTTGTTCTTGGGTCCATGCTCAACCACTGAGCCACGCCGGCTGGGCCTAGCGAACGTTTTGACATGTTTGATTCTAACTGGTTCTAGAGGCAAAACTGCCCCATTTTAATCGTGCTGCATAATTGGGCTTTAGCAAATGCATTTCTGTCCTGCTCTCTCTGGAGAGGTCTACCCGCCCAGCCCCTTGTCACTTCTGTGGGAAAGACCAGGGGTGAGGTGCTGCTAGGCCAGGCAGGGGGGAGCCCAGGATGAGGTCTGGGGAAGACCTGGAAAGAGAGAGAATCTGCAAAAAAAAAGGGGGGCCTCTGGGGAGAGCCAGGCTCACGGGTGCAATCCAGGAAGAGGAGGCAGTGGCAGACTTTGTACAGGGGACAGGTAAAGTAGAGAGAAAGTGGGGACCCCCCTCCAGCCCCTCGGTTAAGGAAGCCTAGTTCCACCTGCCTGTCCAGCACCGTGGCCGAGAGGTGGGGGGTGCAGCCGTTTATGTCCAGCTCGGCACAGCTGCAGCTGAAGCCCTGTGAATGCAGAAAGTGGATTGAGGAGTCCCACGTATGTGAGCACTTGCATTTCAAAGTCAAAAATTGCTAATAATATCAAACTAGTTCTCATCATGTAGGTTCCCTTATTCAGAAAATGGTACCGGCTGCTTAGAAAATCTTCTGTTTTTCAGTGTCGTCAGAGCAGCAGTCTATTTGTTCAATTGAAATTCTAGGTTTGGAAAATTTGCTCCCTAAATATCATCATTGCCCTTCATCCCAAATGCTCAGACAGACAGGAGGTGTCTCGAGTGGAAGGGGAGCATCCGTGGCCCCAGAAGACCCTGCGTTTGGGAGACTTTGGGGGCGGCCCACTCTTCCCTGGCAGGGGTTTTTCCAAACTGAGCCCTGAGAGGAGCTGAGCCCTTGCAAAGCTGAGGGGGTGGAGTGCACACTGCACGCTGTGAAGCTGCTGACTCCAGAAATTTTGTTTCCAGCAGGCCCCCTGAGTGTCAGGCCGGGTGGGATGGTGGCGGCGGCTTTTCCCTTTGTTTGCAGGGGGAATGGAGAGGGGCTGATCTGAGAACAGACTCCTGAAAACGCCTTTCCCCCACCTCCCTGCCACAGTGTCCTTCCTAATGAGGAGGGCCACCTCTGCCGTGGCAAATGCTGGAAGCCTAGACTTCTACCCTCTTGAAAGGGACCCTCTTTGACTAAGATCAATGCCATGACTAGGAAGGAACTCGGGGTGGGGCTGGGAGAGGCTCCTGTCTGTGCTATGGGCATGTGGAGACTCCTGTCCTGGAGACAGCTGGACCTGCTGATCCAATGCATAAACCTGACGCTGGGAGTCAGGGGCCCTGAGCTGTGGTGCCTGCCCATCTCTGCCCTCAGTTTCCTCGTGTGCCAAACAGTAGAGACTGACATGGTAACTCTCTTTTTCTGGCTCCTGGGCTAGATCCATAGTAGGTGCTCAGCAGATGTGTTGAATGACAGCACAGAGCTGTTGCTGCCTTCTCACATTCTCCCTTACAGGTTCCTACACCAGCCCTACCTGCTGTTAGCTCTGTGAATGAAGTGAATTCTTTGCCAGGGATCAGGAAAGGACAACAGGTTCCTAAACACACAGTGTAACTGAGGGGGGAAGAAGGTGGAATGACCATGTGGGCACTTTGCAGACACTGTGTTGGACTTTGCAGTGGATCCCACAGAGGCCAGAACAGAATCATGACAGGATTATGCATGATATGGTATACAACCATCATTATAGATGGTGGACCCTGCGACTCTGGGATTGATTGATTGTGTGTGTGTGTGTACATGTTTGTGCATGTATTACTGTTGTTTATGACACCTAATAAATGCTTGGCACATAGAAGGTGCTCAGTAAAAAAATAAGACTCTCTGTCCCTTAGAAGTTTCCATTTGAAGGATTCAAGGAACAAAATTATTCTGTTCAGAAAGTGAGATTTTGATTGACTGAAGACTTTGAAGAAGAGCTGGGAACTTACCCTCATGTGCAGGGCAGCACAGCCAGCCAGGTATAGATCATTTTAATAAGGAGAGATGGGAACTGAGCCTTCTAATTCTGCATGGATATAATATCAGGTGCAGGGTTTTATAGGTAAAATTAATTTCCATGTAAAGTTGTGCTTGCTAAATGTACAAAATATAAAGTAGGAAAACATCATATATTAACAGTACATTGAGCACAGAAATTTAATAACAGTTCCTTGGGTAAAAGTACTCTCTATTGTAATCTGAATTTTAAAGCTAAAAAAAATAAACAGGATATGAAAAATGGGGACACGGTGTGTCAGATAACTCTGTGTAATCACAGTAACTCTAGGAAAATTGATTTTTAAATACGTACTTTAAATACCACAAAAAGAAATATGAAATTTTAAGAATATTCTAAAAGCACTTGTATTGGAAGTCTTTGGTTGAAAGTAACAGAATAGCCAGCAAATAATAATAATAATAACCTTAAACAATGTAAGTATTCTAACTCTATCTCAGTTAATGAGTCCAGGGGTAGGATGTTCAACAGTTGGTTAATTCAGCCAAGCAATTACCCAGCTCCTTTTCCTTCACCATTCTCAGCATTTAGGCTTCATGTCACAAGATAGCTGCCACAGCTCCAGACATCACATCCTCAAGCAGCCATGTATAAAAGCAAAAAAGGGCAGTCTGTCTTCAAGTGTCTTCTGGGGAGGGACATCTTTTTAAGAAGCTATCCCCCTTACCCGCCTCAGCCAGATTGTGTCATTTGCTATGTTTAATCCCACCACTGGCAAGGGGAAGGGAACTATCACAGGAAGTTTTGATCAGTCAACATTCACCCACTTCCCTGAGCACAGAATGGGTCAGCACTCAAACAAACCCCTCCCCTGTCAGCTGGGAAGAAGGGTTGTGAGGGGTAGGAGAGAGGCAGCCAATGGTGTCTGCAATGATGTGATTTCAGAAATATTATTTTCAATCCAACTACTCACACTGCTAATATTGCTGTCTTTTTTTTTAGCATATGATATTGGATATAGGTGGTTTTTTTTATTGATGTCAGAAAGGAAAAGAGATGGAGATAGAAACATCAATGATGAGAGAGAATCACTGATCTGATGCCTCCTGCACGCCCCCCCTCCCCCAACTGGGGGGTTGAGCCCGCAACCCAGGCATGTGCCCTGACTGGGAATTGAACTGTAACCTCTTTGTTCATAGGTCGACACTCAACTGCCGAGCCACGCCAGCTGGGCTGGAGATAGTTTTTAACCCATGATTTTTTACCCATTACTTTTTTTAGCCATGACTGTAGCGTACATGAGATGTATTTTTGAACCTTCAAAAAGATGCCAAATTAGATATTTTTGTGAAGATTGGAAACTGCATTTTTAAAAGGTGTTCAATTCAGCAAATAAGTATGTACCTACCATGTGGAGGAGGCACTGTGCTAAGCATCGAAAAGTGACTCCAAGTCAACTGTGGGAACCTAGTTTCTTTAAACCTCCATAAACTCAGTATCAGAATCACAGAATAATTGGTTTACTGTTGACAACAATAGAGATCTTGTGCTCATGACTGAACCAGTTTACATGGTGACATTAAACCTCTGTCTTTATAGATCTTCAGTCCAGATTGCATTTAGTGTAGACTAGGTTTTCTTTTTCATTCCTTTGTCAGATTAACTCCATGTTGTATTCTGCTGGAATGTAACCTTGTACAATCACAGGATCTTAATTTTTTAAACAAGTTCTACACTTTCCGTAAAGGCTTTATCATTAGTGTCATGCAACATAGGAAGCCAACTAGTTTAATCCAAAGGATGGATTTAGCTCGGCTCGTGTGGCTCAGTGGTTGAATGTTGACCTGTGATCCTGGAGGTCAGGGTTTGATTCCCAGTCAAGGCACATGCCCAGGTTGTGGGCTCGATCTCCAGTATGAGGCATGCAGGAGGCAGCCAATCAATGAGACTCTCTCATCAATGATGTTTCTATCTCTCCCTTCCTCTCTCAAATCAATAAAAATATTTTTTTAAGAAAAGAAGGATAATCGGCAACGTGTTTGTACTGCATTATAAGAGACAGTGCTATATAAGTGGTGCATTTATCCGTATCAGAACTTTCCTGGGAGAATCATCTTTGTTTTGTGAGTAGACATATCAACGGTCTGACCACTCTCCGGACCAGTATGTCCAGCTGCTCACTGGACCTCTCCACCTAGGTGCCCCTCTGCTGCCCACGGGATCCCTCCACCATCCCCCTCCCCAGTCAGATCCTCCTGTGTTCCTCATCTCCTTGAATGGGGCCAACCGACCTTGTTGCCAGTCTGAAAACCTGGACATCATTCGTGACCCAGCAGCACCAGGACATGTCTTCCTCTTTATCACTGTGCCCTGACAGGTGCGGCTCCATCCCTCCACCCACTGCAGCTCAGGCCTGCCTCCATCATCACTCCTGCAGAACTGTCACAGCCTCTTCCCATCCCGGGCCTCCAAAAACAGACCAGAGCTGCTCGCCCGCCCGAGGTCTCTTGGGGCCTCTCTCTTGCCCAGAGGATAGGCTGCCGCCTCTGTGGCATGGCAGGCAGACAAGACCCTTGGAGTCCGATGCACCTCCTCCCAGCCTCACATGCCCGCTCCCCCTCCCCACCCAGCTTCCCCTCTCCCTAGGCTGGGACCCCCTTACTGCGGAAGCTTCCAGCTGCTCCTGTGAGGAGACAGCCCCGCCCCTAAGCCAGGATGTCTGAAATGGGTTTTTCCCTGTGGAGGAGGTGCCACCTCTGTGCTGATTCATAGGCACCCTCACATCTCCTTGGAGACTTAGAATACATTTACTTCAAGTACAGTTGGTCAGGGAAGTAAGTCTGAAACTGCAAAAGCAAAAAAAGAATGTTTCCCTTTTGCATCCTAAGGATGGTGCAATGTTTTTTCCTTCAAAATGAGAATTGACAACTACTCCCAGTTCACAAATGAACATACTCGAGTTTTAATATGGAAGCATTTAAGGCCTTGAAAGCATCCTGGGGGATATTGAAGCGTAATTGGGACATTTCCATCCACTCTGCACACGTTGGTTATTAACACATCAAGTTGTGGATTCTTGTTTGCCAAGCAGGGTTCCCAGCAGGGTTCATGTGTGGGGAAAGCATATATTTGTGTGATTGGATTTTAAATCAGTTCAGGGGTTTCTTTATCCTTCTTTGAAAAAAAACTTACAAGGGCTGATCCTTCCCGGGGAGGGAAGGCCTGGCAGTAGTTGGCTGAGGGTCTGTCTTGGTGTATTCCTGGGGCCCTGGCCCTTATGAGAGGACAAAGCCTCGCCTTAGTGATTCAGAAAGATCTTCACCGGAAATATTTTTCTGCTCTTCATTCCAATTCTATCGATTTCAAGGGCTCCTATATCAGGAATACCGAGATAAATCAACTCTCCAGGAAATTGAAACCAGGAGGCAACAGGATGCAGAAATACAAGCCGATGACCTCCGCTCCCCGTCCAGCGAGGAGACTCCTGAGGAGGAGGAAGAGGAGGAGCAGGAGGAGCTGGCAAGCCCACCTGAGAGGAGGGCTCTGCCCCAGATCTGCCTGCTCAGCAACCCGCACTCCAGGTTTAACCTCTGGCAAGACCTCCCGGAGATTCAGAGCAGCGGAGTGCTGGACATCCTCCAGCCCGAAGAGATTAAACTGCAGGAGGTGAGGGCGCCTGGGGTGGGATGGGGGGACAGGGGGGTGTTTTAACCAATGTGCCTCGAGGCTGCCCAGCAGGCTCATCCTGAGAAGCCTTGGCAGGGTTCATCCACCCAGAACATGCAGGAAAATTCCCTCATTTCACGGGCAACAAAAAACAACTCATTACCTTGTAGGATAGCTCAATCCCAACACTGAGTGTTCTCAGCATAGTGGTTTCATTACATAGCAAGATTGCATTCTTTAAATCCGCCGTTATTGTTGGGAATTTCCTGGCACCGGTGACCACGAATGCTCTAGGTGGTGCGGAGCAAACTGTGACTGTGAAATCACTTCCGTTGGCGCTTGGCTTCTCACTCAGTAGCCCACAACTTTATTGTGCTGTCGCTTGAACCTCGGGTGAGGGGAGGCTCTGAAAGAAAGCCCTAGCATGCCCACCCCCTCTCGAACTGGCACTTGCTTCTCTGCCCTCTCATTGGCTGGTCCAGGCAGACTGCCCATCTGTCCATCAGACTGAGGTATCGCTGAGGTGCCTCCTGGTTTGTGGCCACCAGGCAGAAATAATCAATTACAAATGAGCAGTAACAGTAATGAGTTACTAAGAAATTTAAGTGTTCACTTTAGTTGCACAAAGATTATTTGGCATAAAGGGGGAAAATCTGTGGAATAGGGAGACTAGAGTATGGGGTATGGTCAATAGTAAGGAGAGAGACTGGGTGAGAGAAATGGTGAGTGTGCACGTGTGTGTTCGTTGTGAAATTTAAAAAGTGGGTACAGAGGGGAAAATGAAATGAAGAGATTGGGTTTTTCCACTGGTTCAATCCAAATCCCATCAT